CCTGGAGCATTCCATGGACAGAGGAGCCTACGGCCCATCGAGTCGCAAAGAGTCAGACACGACTGAAGCAACTCAGCATGCACACGCATGATAGGAAAAGGAGTCACAAAAGCCTACAGTGGTCCAGTCGATTTTAGAAAACAGACAGCGTCCTCTTAGTGTAAAGCCTGGGCCTCTGGAGAGAGCTCTGACCCGGGATTGGGTCCCCACTGGGTGGTGGCTTTGGGCAAGTGAGAACAGGAGGACCTGGGCCAGTTCCCAGCCACGGCTCCATCAGCTAACATCTGTGATTCTGTGACTGCAGACCAGTAGGTTCAGTTGACTAGGAAACCTCGATTCCAGTTGGCTCGCCCAAGAGTTGCCACGTTTTCCATCTTTGATCGTTGGATCTCAGCAGACTTGGTATAATGGCCTGAAGAGTGATCACTTGGCAGAAGGTTCACGGGAGCCAGAGGTGCCTAGGGTCTGATGAGTGAGAAGCTCTGGTGGCACCAGAATCCAGATCCCCACACCCAGAGCAGAGGGAGAGAGGAAGAAAGGCAGCTAACATCATGGAGCCCCCGACCCCGGGCCACCAAGCCTAGTGCTGTAGATCCACGGCCCCTCCCTTCCAGCACTCAGCAGAGAGCTGTGTCACCCTCAGTTAGGACTGGGCACTGGGGATTGGGTGGAGAACAAGGCGGTTCAGCCCCAGCGCTCAGGGAGCTTGCATTCTTTGGGGTGAGAAAGGACAAAAAACCCTCAGAGACTTAGCGACATTTGAGAGGCTGTGAGACCTAGTGATGGGGACCGAGTCCAGGCTGGGCATGGGGCACAGAGGCCTGGATGAGGAGGGGAGAGAGAACATTACAGGCAGAAGGAACGGCATGTGCAAAAGCTCCAAGATGCCCAGGCATCTGGCCCCCGGGAGGGCTGGAGAGAGGCCAGCGGCCAGAAAGCTGCAAGCAGGGGCTTGAGGCTTTGGAGTTGAACTTGTGGAGGCTGGTTGCACTGGCCAGGTTCTAGCAAGCTTCATAGGTGATGGTCAGGGTTTGCTTTTTATCTTATAGGCGGGGAGAGAGAGGGTTATAGGTTTTTAGTAGGACAAAGATGTGATCTGATGTGCATTTTTAAAAAGATTACAATTCTAATAGGGAAGATGGATGAGGAGGGCAGGAAAGGAGAGAGGAGACCAGCTTGGGGCGGGAAAGGTGGAGAAGTGTTATCCTTCTTGTTTTTCAGATAAATTCACTAGATCCAAAGACACCTTAATGTTAGGAAAATACAGGTCATTCACCATGTATATGCTGTCTAATGCCTAATATCAACAATATATGGAGCCTGTATGTATATATAGATACACCTAGCACAGACCCAGTTTTAAAAGTGGGCAACTGTCATGAGCCAGCATTTTGACAAGAGAGACTTAAGTAAGCATCTGAAGAGATGTATATATAATTGGGGATCAGGGAAATAAATACAAGTCAAGCCACAGTGAGATCCAGTTTTGGACCCATACGATTGGGAAGAAGCTAGAATCCTGTCCATACCTAGTGCTGGAGAAGACGAGGAGTCACACGATTTCTCAGGCATGGCAGCCACTCCAGAAGCGACCCTGGCCACATTTCCCCAAAGCCACACGTCTCACAGCTCATTCAGTTGCCCTGCTAGGTCAGCTCTGGAGAGAATCACTTGCACGTGTCGACCCAGGGACATTTGCAGGAATGGTCACGGCTACAAGGCCCACAGAAGGAAGCCTGGCAGCCCTCAGATGCCCACCGCCTGGTGACTGCGTGAATGAGCCACAGGGCAGGCAGGACACAGAGCAGTGTGCAGCCGTATCCTGTTCGGTTAAAAGCAGACGCCAAAGCCCAGACAGTAAGCTGTCATGTTACACCCTTTTCATAAAGCTTTTAGGAATACATGGAGATGCAGAAAGCTATATTAAAAAGGCAAGCGGGGGGGGAACGACCATGGAATGCAGGTGGTAGTTACCTTGATGTGGGGGGAAGCTGGGGGAGGGGAAGCCACAGGTTAGACACAGGTATTGTTGAGGTCTAACTCCCACTCAGGGGGCTTATTCACAGCACAGGTGCTGATGACAGAATTTAAATTGCTTAATTAAATGAATAAATACAAAGGAAGGCCATGTATTGACCCATAAAGAGAATGTATCATATCCTAAGGATTCCCTGGTGGCTCCGTGGTAAAGAACCTACCTGCCAAGCAGGAGATGTGGGTTTGATCCCTGGGTCGGGAAGATCCCCTGGAAGACTCCCCTGCCAGTGGGAACTGGCAACCCACTCCAGTATTTTTGCCTGGAGAATCCCATGGGTACAGGAGCCTGGCAGGCGACAGTCCATGGGATTGCAACTAGTCAGACACAACTTAGCTACTAAACAACAACATGGTTAGTTTAATTCTTTAAAAAGAAATAGGATTCGGAAGGAGAGAGAGAGAGAAAGGGAGGAAGGGGAACAGTAACTAGCCCGGCTACCTGGAACAGAGGCAAACCTCCTCTGTCCTGGCCTGAGCCCCTTGTTCGCCCCTGAGACCATTGCTGGGAATGATGGTCTTGTGGGCAAGGAGAGAAGGGGGCTGGGGGTGATCATTGTTTCCCAGAAGCTTGACTGGCACGGGCTATTTCTGCCTGGAACTGGCCTGTCCTGAACAGGGCTGGCTGGAAAAGGTCACAAATGGATGGGAGTCCGTTTTGCCATCGGCAGCAGTCCTTGCAGGCATGGCAGGAGGTGATGTAGGCCTGGCTGTCGGTGGGCTCAAGGTTGACGCTTTCCCAGGAGAAGGGGAAGCTGAATTATGGCTGCACCGAAAGCCCGTATCAGAACCATGAGGACAGGAGGGATTGGAGAAGACAATGATCCGGATGTTTGGTGGGGCAGTAGGGGTGGGGGTGGGGGGAGCAAGAGGAAGCAGGGAGAAGAAAGGAGGAGGATTTGAAGGAAAGGAAGGGGGGAGTGGAGTTAGAAGCAATGAGTCCACTCCCAGCAGAGGCTTTGACATGCAAGGGGAGAAGGAGAAAGGATTTGCCTCCTCAGATCAGGGCCTTGGGTCTTAGCATCATTTTCTGTAATATTCTGGCTTAATGGCTTCACGACTGTGTCCCAAATGCCAGCATCTCCCAATCCCCGTTCTACTACCACTCGCAGAAATAGAACACAAAAGATGTGCCTCCGGTTGACCAAATCTTCAAACTACCTTGGGGCTTCCCTAGTGGCTAGGACGGTAAAGAACCTGCCTGCAAGGCGGGAGATGTGGGTCCATCCCTGGGTTGGGAAGATCCCCCGGAGAAGGGAATGGCATCCCACTCCAGTATTCTCGCCTGGAGAATTCCATGGGCAGAGGAGACTGGTGGGCTGCAGTCCATAGAGTCGCGAAGAGTCAGGACTGAGTGACTAGCAACACTTCCAGGATCAAAATAACCTTAACTCTGGGAAAGATATGTTGTTCTTATTTTTATAATGTTATAATATAGTGTCTGCTTTGCAGACACAGCTCACTCCCCCTCTCCCCGCCAAAATCAACTTTGCATTCAGACCTGTGTGACTTAGGGAGAGTGATGAGATTGTGCTCAGAGGGCTGACAGCAACAAAGAACACTTGAGGCTGGTGACCTCGCCAGTGACTGGAACTGCGAGCGAAGGAAGCCGACCGGGGAAGTTTCACGTTTCAAGAAGATAACGTGTCCCACTTAGAGCTCTCCCGTCAGATCACAGGGGCTGGATTTCTTGACTGGACATGAAACGTAACAGCTGTGGAGATCTGAACCTCCAGTCTGCATCTCTGGGAAGGACCGAGGCAGCGGAGACAACAGTCATTATTCAAGTGTAGTGAACAGAGGCGCGTGGGGCCTGGAGGAGGATGGTTCTGTCAAGACATAGGAGCGCATGCCAGTGGTTCTAGGTGTATGTCTCGGAAGCTGCTCACAGCTCAGGAGCTGCCTTCCCGTCCTGGCTCCACCTAAAGAGGCCAACCAAGCTCAAACAGTGGCTCCCCATGCCACCCGCTGACCTCAGTCTGAGTCTCCATATTGGTGATTCACAAAGTACAGCCCACGGGCCGGCTTTGTAAATAAAGTTTTATTAGAACACAACCATATCTGTATCATCTTTCATGTTACGACAGCACAGCTGAGGCATTGCAACACAGATCCTGTGGCCCACGAAGCCTAAAATAGGTCCTAGCTGACCCTTTACAGGAAAAAGAAACCTGTCAACTCCTGACCTATAAGAGAGTTAACTGGATTGTTACTTCCCCAAACGGGAATGCTAGCACCTCAGGGGATACAGAGCTGAAGAGGAATATTCCTTTCCACATAGGGTTAATGTAAGGATTAAACATATGTTAGGATTTAGACCAGGGTACATAGTACAAATTCGCATTACTTCTATTCCTATTATACAATCATTTGGATGTTGAACTTTCATTACCAGAACCTTTATTTATATTTATTTTTTAATCTTAAAGAAATTAAGCTGTGTAACATTTAACATTTTAGGACTTACACTCATACTTTATATGTATTTCATTTTTTGAAGTTTATTACTATTAATAATAGCTAACAGCTTCTTAAACATTTGTTATGTGTCATTGAGTGTTTTGAGAGCATCATAGAAAGTAACTCAACTTTATGATAGAAAGGGGCTTTTGGCTCCATTTTACAGGTGAGAAAACTGAGGCAGAGAGAGGTGATGTAATTTGCCAAAAGTCACACAACTAGTGAGTGGCAGGCCTGCATTTGAACTCAGGAAGGTCCATTGCTATGTGTCCTCTCATAAACATACATATATTGACTGCATACATACATACATGCTCCAACTCTTTTTTTTGTTTGTTTTAATTAGTAGGCGTCTGTGCTCTTAGGTGTGGATGGTCTCAGAGATGCTGTCCAGGATTGGGACTCTGCACTACCCGCCTGCCCGGGCACACGCCTGTTTCTATGGGACTTGGGCCTGGTGAGGACCCGCAGCTCCTCCGGGCCCTGACGTGTTCTCTCCTTTACAGCCCATCCCGAGAGAGCCGCCCTGCTGTTCGTGTCCAGCGTCTGCATCGGTCTGGCACTCACGCTGTGTGCTTTGGTCATCAGAGGGTCCTGCACCAAGGACCTCCAGGAGCTGCAGCTGGCCAGGGAGCACCTGGTGCCAGGAAGCGACGAGGCCGAGGAGGACAGCCAGGATGAGGAGGGCGAGGAGGACTCCTCTGACTCCGACTTCCCGGGGGAACTGTCGGGGTTCTGTAGGACTACGTATCCTGTCTACAGCTCCATAGAAGCTGCAGAACTGGCAGAAAGGATTGAGCGCAGGGAACAGATCATCCAGGAAATATGGATGAACAGTGGCTTGGACACTTCACTCCCAAGAAACATGGGCCAGTTCTACTGAGAGCCAGATACATCTTGACGTGAGCACACTTTCCGAGGAGGGAAGGTTCCAGAAGCCCCTCCAGCTCTGTTCCATTTGTACCTTCTGTGAAGGAGAATCTGTCATGCCATCCAATCCTGGGGAAGCCAGAAAGTTCTTAAAGGGACATTTCAAACTGTTTACAGCACATCTCAAAATAAATTGGAGGGGAGAAGTCTTTGTCTCCTGTTATTTATTTAAATTCATTTATATATGCTAACAGAACTAGAGTTCACATTTATCGAGCACTTTTAATGCCAGGCACTGTTCTAGTTGCTTTTCATGCATTAAGTTATTTAATACTCATGATAACTTCATGCAATGATGCTATCATTCTCATTTTACAGATGGATTTTTAGAAGATCTCTGTCTATTCATTAAGAAATTATACTAATATTCAAGATGGCAAGCATGAGTTGAGTGACCTTAGGCTCACTGGTGGTATTACGTTTGGAGAAAGGGTTGGCAAAAAAATTTTTAAGGTAAAGATAATAAATATTTTAGGCATTTCTGGTCAGATGGTGTCCACCACCACTACTCACCTCTGCCACTGGAGCTTAAAAGCAACCACATCTAATACATAATGGATGAACACAGCTGTGTTTCAATAAAACTTTATTTGTGGAAACTGAAATTTGAAATTAATGAAGTTTCACATGTCATATATTCTTAATCAATTACTTTAAAATGTAAAAGCCATTCTTAGCTCATGGACTGTACAAAAACAGGCAGTAGACTGGATTTGGTCTTGATTTTATAAATAAATTATGGTTTACATGGCTCAGTGGTAAAGAATCTGTCTGCCAGTGCAGGAGACAATCCATGGGGGGGGGGCGGGGGGTCACAAAAGAGTTGCACAGTTTAGAGACTAAAACAACAACGGTTTACAGTGGGGCTTCATTCATGGCTCAAGTGGTAAGGAATCTGCTTGCATTTTTGGGCACCTGATGTCCTCTGCTAGTGATCAGAAGTTGTTTTGTGGAGTTTACTCAGCATTCAACTGTTCTTTCGATGAATTTGTAGGGGAGAAAGTGGTCTCCCCNATGCTTTTGAACTGTGGTGTTGGAGAAGACTCTTGAGAGTCCCTTGGACTGCAAGGAGATTCAACCAATCCATCCTAAAGGAGATCAGTCCTGAGTGTTCATTGGAAGGACTGATATTGAAGCTGAAATTCCAATATTTTGGCCACCTGATGTGAAGTACTGACTCATTGGAAAGACCCTAATGCTGGGAAAGACTGAAGCAAAAGGAGAAGCGGACAACACAGGATGAGATGGTTGGATCGCATCACCGACTCAATGGACATGAGTTTGAATAAGCTCTGGGAGCTGGTGATGGACAGGGAGGCCTGGAGAGCTGCAGTCCATGGGGTTGCAAAGAGCCGGACACGACTGAGCAACTGAACTGAACTGAACTGAGTGACTAACACAAAATTTTTACTCTCTTGCCCAGTACAGAAAAGCTCACTGACTCCAGACTTAGAGTTTAAGGTGCTGAAAACAATTAACTGGACTTCCCCCGCAGTACTGAGGGCAGGGGTCAAGTGGAGTTGGTTTTCAAATTATAAACACGGGTCCTTCCAGTTTGGGGGTGGGGGGGCAGGTGAAGGAGTAGAAGAAAGAGAGCTAAGGAAACAGATTCCGGATGGGAGAACTGGTGATGGTTTCCTTTAGACGGCTCCCCCTGGTGACGGGAGGTTTATAGCGGTGAAGTAGAACAAGAAAAGATTTTTTTTCTTTATTGTGCCAGAGGTATTAGAGCATAAAAACGATGGTGTCAAGTCTTCATATGCTGACTACCAACGAGGTCTCCCTCCTTATCTCACTTCATCATCACATCAACCCTGCAAGCAGGTATAAATAGTTGAGGAGGCTGAAGGTTGACAGGTTAGGTTTTGGGGCCACGTCACATGGTACAAAGTGCTGGCGCTGACTCAGCGGCAAGTTAAGGAGGAAATCCCAGCTGTTCCCTCAGTACCCCAGGTATCAACAGGTAGGATGGAAGGCATTTCCCCCTCAGTCCCCAGATCCTGAGGGTGGAAGGCCCATCTGAGTCACACAGAGGAGGTGGGTGTCGGGGGAAGGGCCTGTCTCTCATCAACCGGCCTGGCTGCCCGTGTCGGGGAGTGGCTGCATTTTGCTTTGCTTTGTTTCTTATAATTCAGTTTGCCTTAGTTCATTCTAGCTTCTATTACAAAAATACTATAAACTGAATGGCTTATAAACAGCAGAAATTTATTTCTGTTTGGCGGGCTGAAAGTCCAAGATCAGGGGGCCAGCAAATTCAGTGTCTGGTGGAGACTGGCTTCCTGGCTCATAGCCGGCCATCTGCTTGCTGGGTGCCCACATGGCAGAAGGGGCTGGGACTTCTCTGAGGTCTCCTTTGGTGCATGCTCAGTTGCTCAGTCGTGTCCAACTCTTCATGACCCCATGGACTGTAGCCCACCAGGCTCCTGTCCGTGGGATTTTCCAGGCAAAAATACTTGAGTGAGTTGCCATTTCTTTCTTCACGGAATCTTCCTGTCCCTGCATCTCCTGCATTGGCAGGAGTCTGGCTAGTCTTATCCATGAGAGCTCTGCCATCATGACCTAATCACTTCTCAAAGGTCCCGCCTCCAAATAACATCGCACTGGGTGTTAGGGTTTTAACATGAGTTTTAAGGTACACAAACGTTTAGTCTACACCAAAGTTGAAATTCATGGGAAGCAAAATCGACCATTTTAAGGCACACAGTTCAGTGGCTTTTAATACATTCACAATGTGGTAGGACACCACTTCTACCTAATTCCAAAGTGAAGTCACTCAGTCGTATACAATTCTTTGCCACCCCATGGACTTTAGCCTGCCAGGCTCCTGCCATGGGATTTTCCAGGCAAAAATACTGGAGTGAGTTGCCATTTCTTTCTCCAGAGGATCTTCCTGACCCAGGGATCAAACCCAAGTTG